TTATGATCTGCCATTGAGATGATTTTTGAACCAACTTAAGGCGATTTCATCGATTCCATAATATCTCAGTTTACGAATTAATATTTGCCTATCGATAGTTTCAAATGCCCTCTTGAATTCAAGGAACACTGCTACTTTTAATTTATCGCTACTGATTTCATTCTTCCATTTTGAAACTATTAATTGAAAGACAGTTTCACACGAGTGGTGTTCTCAAAATCCGGATTGATTTCCTATAAACAGGTTATTTTCAGTGAAGTACCTAGTACTTTGTTCATGTACAACAATTTACAAAACTTTCTCAGTAATCGGCAAAGTATTCATTGCTCTGAAGTCTGACATTTTGACTGCATCATTCATTTTTGGGATGGGAATAACTGTCCTTTTTTTCAAAATATTTGGAAAGTTGCCGGACGACATTGATGTTTGTATTAAGTTTAGGAGATGAAATCTAAGTCTAAAAAATGTTGATTTCAAAAATGTAGCCGATATTACTTCTTCAGCATTGCCTTTATTTTTGAGAGAAAAAATAATTGACTTCAGCTTACTTATATCAATCTTCTCGAATTGAACAAATCTCGTTTCTATATCAATTAGATTTTTAGGAGACCATTCTGTTACACTTACAATAAAATTGGAGATAACTTCAATGCTTTCAACATAAAATGAATTGAAGTTGTTAGCAGCTTGTAGCTCCGTTCTCGTTTTGACGACAGCGCCATGAGTACTGAAATTGATAGATTTGAAATTCAATTGTTGTTTGTCACCTTTTATCAATATTTTCATTGTTTTCCACATTTTCCTCAAGTTATCACTATCCGCATCAATTTTGTTTTCATAGTATTGAGATTTTTTGATTTTCAACATATCAACAACTTGATTCCGTCTCGGTTTATATCGATTCCAGGACTCCTCCTTCTTAATGCCGGAACTTTCAATGAATTCTTTGTAAGCCCTGTCTCTAAGTTTAGAAGCAGATCTGATTTCGTCATCATACCAGGAGACTTGATTTGATTTATTCTCAATTTCAACTATTGCCGCAATATCATTTAATAGTATTTCACATTTCGACTCAAATTTACTGTATATGGTAATTTAGAGAAAACAAAATAAACAATTACTATGGAAATGAAAGATTTTGAAGTACTTATGATCCTGAAGTATAAATTTCTTGGCAAAATGATTGATGAAAAATTCACTTCTCTGAAAAAATCAACTATGTGAGTAAAAGATCAAACCAAGCATTTTTTGCTATGATCTCGCCCATTCAGCAATTAGTTATAACATTATCACATACGTACAAGCAACGAAATGGAACTAGGGATTTTGTTACCAAAAAACAATTATACGACAGATTCCCAACTTAGAATATCAAAAATTGTGTAGATGAGTCTTTTAAGAGAATGAAGTACTCACTGTACAGAACTGTACAGGACATTTATTTATTGAAAATATTATTGTACGTTCATAATAACATAAAAATATCGAGATATCCACAGTTATTCGACAAGAAATCAGAATAACATACACCTGGCGGTCGCCAGAATGTACCGAAACGCTGTACTATAAAGTTGCCGAGGAATATATAATAATAGAAACTTCGATCAACAAGTTTGAAAAAAGTGTAAAAACTCTGCTGACCAATAATCCTATGAATTCTCACTTTTACTCAAAACTTGATGAAAATTTGTGTGAGTATATACTTATGTGTAATAATGTATATAGTGGGTATATTGTAATTTTATATACATGAGTATTGTCTTCATTCCATACTTTTAAAATCTGTTTGAAATCTGTTTTTCTGTTAATAAACTTTGTATGGATGAACTATTTTTATGAATTGAAGCGGTTATATTTTTTAGGAGTGATTAATTTTTAGGAAAGAAAGTTTTTGGCTTTCTACTACTCCATCTTGATACAAAAAAAGGAGGATGAGGGAGTCTTCCAAAGAAAGGAAGAAAGTAACTCTATACATGGATGTGTAGATCATGCAAAGAAGTAACTTTCAGACACAAACTGAAAGAAAGTCCTTCTGAAACAGCTACTTTCATATAAACATTGAATTATACGAAAAAAAAATTCTTTCGAAACAAATACTTGTATATGAACACTGAATTATACAGAAGATACTTTTCTCTACTAAGTATGTATTTCAAACATTCGTTGTGGAATGAAAATCAGATATCATTCACATAAGTTCTACTTAAAATGAATGGTAACAAATTGCACTTACATAGAACACTGCCATCCGCACTGGTATACACCGATATTTCGCCTTAAGTGGAAGACCAGAAACTGTAACAGCGCCTGAACTAGAAAAAGCTATACTTGATAAAAGAAAATCCTTCACATAGTACCAAGAAGATTGCACTGTAGCTGTAAGACATGCCCAAAATGATATCTGATTTTCATTCCACAACGAATGTTTGAAATACATACTTAGTAGAGAAAAGTATCTTCTGTATAATTCAGTGTTCATATACAAGTATTTGTTTCGAAAGAATTTTTTTTTCGTATAATTCAATGTTTATATGAAAGTAGCAGTTTCAGAAGGACTTTCTTTCAGTTTGTGTCTGAAAGTTACTTCTTTGCATGATCTATACATCCATGTATAGAGTTACTTCCTTCCTTTCTTTGGAAGACTTCCTCATCCTTCTTTTTTGTATCAAAATGGAGTAGTAGAAAGCCAAAAACTTTCTTTCCCAAAAACTATTTTTATCTATTTGTGTATATGAACCTGATATATTTTTAATGGCAAAAAAGTTAATAAACCAATTGAATTGAATTCATCATGGCAATTATACTAATTGTTTCAGTAGTAGTTCTGTTACCTATGTCCGGAGTTGCTTCATTTCTGTGATACAGAACGTTGAAGTTCAAAAGAAAATGGTATAAATGAAATATCATTAATATTCTTACAATAGTTTGCTTGAAATAAGCTACAGTTATTTGAAGTGATAACTCGCTCATTAGCCTTAACTAGATTGAATTTATTAGGTCCACTGGCGTCTCAGTGAGCACCACAGCTTACAGTATTGAAAAAAAAGTACGCCACTACTTGTTGTTGTGGTTTTTTATTTTTGTAAGTCAATCAACTGAAAATACAACTTCCTCGTCGCCTGTGTTTTCTTCATTTCTAGCTTCGTTTTGAAGAAAAAAATGAAGCCACTTTGCATATCATGAACACCTGCGTTGGAGGGGAGCTGACAGTGATAGTGTAGTCATATCAGTCAAATTCAGAGTTTTTAATTAGCAGTGACTTCATCATGATTAATTTTACTAACGCTGAAATGGTTGACGAGCACTTCATTTATCGATTAGCAAATGGAAATGCGGAAGGAGCACAGATAATTTTCCAGGACTGATATCTCAACAGAGAAATTCCATGTGCTGAAACATTAAGAACGCTACATTCAAGATTATGTCAAACTGAGAGTTTTTATAAAAATGCAGGTGGTGGAACACCAGAAACTGTAACAGCGCCTGAACTAAAAAAAGATATACTTGATAGAAGAAAATCCTTCAAATAGTACCAAGGAAATTGCACTGTAGCTGTCTAAAAACCAGCCTAAAAACCGTATGGACGGTTCTTAAAAACCCTCCTTTTTTACCCATATTACACATGATTGATATTTTGTAGGTTACTGCTTTCACAATCATCACGTTATTAGAGGAAGTCATTTTCAGCAACAATTTTCGCTGAAGGTTCGAGAGGAATGATTGGAGACTACCTAATTGGACCATTTTTCCTACCAGCAAGATTAACAGATGAATGTTACACGAACTTTTTGCGAGATCATTCACCCATTTTGTTTGAAGAAGTGCTGGTACTTGTGAGAGGCAACGATGGGGATCCAGCTCATGATGGTGTTCTTGCTCCTCAGTATTTCAACATAACCTACCCTCATTGCTGGATTGAACTTGCAGGATCTCAAAGTTGACCAGCTCGTAGTCATGATATGAATCCTCTAGATTACTATGCACGGGGCCATCTGAAGGCTCTTGTTTATAAATCTCCTGTACTTGAATAAGTAACAAGTTTAAGAACTGTTTATTATTTACTTTTGATTTTTTTTTCAGTTGTCCAACGAAAAAGTTGTATTTTTGGTAACTCAATCTGAAAAATCAAAAACTTCAAAAAAGTCAGTGGCGTTCTTTTTTCCCTCCATATTGTTGGCTAGGGTGCCCACTGAGACCCCACTAGACCTAATAATTTCAATCTAGTTCGAGCTAAGTAAGATCTTTTTCACTTCAAATGACTGTAGCAAGTTTCAACCAAATCAGTGTAATGATATTTAGGATATTTTATAAATACAGTTTTTCTTTAATTCAACGCCCTGTATCTCAGAAATGAAGCGACTCCGGACATATGTTCATATGAACATTCTCTTTGAACGACCTGACGAATCACACTTTGCGATTCACAGAGGGTGATTCGTTAGGCTGTTTGTACCGTGATTCGTACCGCAGTTACGAATAACTCTGTATAGTGATAATTCTGAATTTCATTCAGTGCTAAGTACTTATTGGCTCACATGTTTACGACTCCAATTGACCTCCCTGTAAATTTAGTTCAGGATCGAGAGCTTTGGCGTACGCAGAATCTGTCTCAGACGGGGGAACTAACTCCCCATGAGCAGGTTAGCAACTGTTTGCGCCCAAGTGAGATTTCACCAAAACCAGAGGCGAAAAAGCCCTGCACGGCTGAATCTAAGGCAGCGTCAGGTGTAGCTGACGTGCAAAAACCCTCATATGAGAAAGTTGTCGTGACTACTCACCATACAAACTAATGGGCTTCGTTAGGAAGATGGATTTGTTTGGCTAAGTGAGAATAGGTGTGAGCCACAATAAACCCTTGCGGGTTGCGGTGGAGGGTCGAATAGACCTACTCACTTTGGACCTAACCTAACCTATTTACTCACATTATACATTCATGATATTTTGTCGACATATCCTGTAACAAATATGAGATTATAGAGAAATATCTCTCATGAACTCACCGGGATGTCTTTGAACACTTCGGGGTCAATTTCTTCAAACTTATTCTCACTTAGTTTAAGTACGTGTAACTTCGCGAGTTTGAGGAATATCCTTGGCACTAGTTCTTCCAACTTATTACTCCTCAAAGTCAACATTCGCAACTCCGTCAAATGCTTGAAAGCGCCGACTTGCAACCGCTCAATACGGTTGTGGTCCAAATTCAATTCCACCAAGTTCACTAAGCCACGAAAATTATGATCAAACACACCGCTGATATTGTTGAACGACAGGTCCAATACTCTTATACTCGGAACGCCCCAAAACGCGTGCATGGTTATCTGATGAATATTCGAACGCCTTATCACCACTTCCTCCAAATGTTTGAACTGCTGGAATATGGGGGTGATTGACAACGTATTCAGGTTATCGACGGGGGCTGATATTTCCAGGATTTCCAAGTCGAGATCCATTCTGGATATTGGGATGGGGTCCCGCATACCTCCTTTCGTACAGGTTACTTTCTTTTGGCCTTTTTCTGTTTGTTTGCAGCTGCAAGATTCAGGGCAGAGCGAGTCCGTTGAACATAACCACAATATCATTAGGCTGGGCGATAAGAGGTGCCAGGATAAGAGCATCCTGAAACAATAGAAAAATCTCTGTTACTATTGTGCTTTAACATTTTGTTACTGGAGCTGAGGCCGTAACATTATTTTCATTCAATGAATTATTTGTTCATCACACTAAGTCCATTATTGTCTATTAGTGAGACAAAATGGTTTTCAACATTCCTGCTAATTGATGACATAAACGAATGAACATACATGAAACTTTGTTCGAATTATTCAACCGTTATATATTGCAATGCTTTATGAGTATTATGGTATCGTAATGTAGGAAATGTGTCAAAAAATATGAATGCAAAATGCTATATTCGTAATCAACATTTTTTAGTATTTATTACCTATACAGTGTGTAAATGCCAAATGAACTCAATTCATCATTTCGGTTAAGGTACATATTTCAACAAATTCCTGAAACACGTCGAATGTGAATTATAATTTGACATTCGTCAACGTAAAAATTCAACCCCTACCTTCAACCCCCTTCGAAAGACAGGTACAACTCCCCATTTTTTTATTGGGAAGTATAGACTTGTTATACAGGGCTTTTCATGATGAGCGTTAATTAGCCGTTTCTGGCAAACTATTCAACGGATCAACCTGAAAATTCCACAGTTTGCATAAGTCAATATGACCTACATGCATAAAATATTTTAGACGAAGCGGCGTTGTCGCTTCTACTATAAAGTAGCGGCTTCTTTGATTTTTCAAACGGAACACCCCGTATATAATATCATATTATGATTCATTATCACTTTGTCAACAAATTCTTATACTATTTCCCTATACCTATCTATTACCGTTTAGAAGATATAAATTAATTTCGATATTTTTTTTACCAAACATGAACTTTTATAAATGCTGATAATCTTGAACTCTCTTGCACTAAAACGTTCAAATTTGAAATGGGGTGGAGTGATACTATAAGAATCTTCACTTCGAGTCATATTTTCATTTGCCTCATACAGGGTCTTCAAAAAATGCAGATACTCTGATCTCATGAAAAAATGAGTGGAACTCAATTTTCTCAAATCTAACACCCTGTATATTTCAACATTTTTGAGCTCTACATCCAATTTTAGATCAACTTTGTCCAGATAATACTATTTCTATTTTGAACCGTTTTGGAGATAAACTGTTTCAAACGGAAATTGACATGATTTCCTTGTTCATCACTCATTTTTGTAAAACAGATTTCGTTTGATGTTTCTCAATTGGTCACAGATAATACAATGAAAAGATAATTATTAAAATACTCCTCAACCATCGAATGAAACTTCTCTACAAACAATAGTTTTATTAACGCTGAAACATGAACTGAAAATAATAAACACATAAATTAATGAGTTAATTTCATCGTCAGTGTATTTCACAATATATTCAAACACATCTCCACCTCTACTTAAACAAACATGTAATCTCTTCAAAAGATTGTCATGTGTAGCGCTTCTGATCAAGTCTGGAGTCAAACTATTGAAAGCAGTTGTAACTCTTCTTTGTTGTTATTGGAGTAGAGTAAACCATATTTTTAATGAATACCCACACGAAATAATGTAATGGATTGCTATCTGGTGTTCTAGGAGGTCAACGAAAAGGTCCAAGATTACCAATCCATCTATTTTCGAAGATTTCGGTTAAAGCTTCGCTGACTGAAATAGAATTATGGGGTGGAGCACCATCCATTTGGTATCATACACGTTCTCTTCCTGGTCTATTATTTACATACCTGTCATCAACAAACTGAGCATGCTAAACAGCTGAGACTGTGAACATATGTTCGATGAATTGAAATGAAATTGTGGATAGTCTGAAGAGTGATAGCAAATATTTCAGAAGAAATGAGTAATATTTGACTGAGTACTGACAAACGATGAAATTTGGATTTTGTTCAACTTTGAGACTCTTGACAGAGAAACCTTTAATTTACTATGATTTCAGTCACGTCTATGAATAATAATATATTTATTCACTAGAACAAACGACAGAGTTAATTATATGATACATAATAATTTGAGTAGGGGAGTAAATGGTTTTGATGATATTTTTGTACATAATTCACATAGTATTGTTCCATGAAATGAAATATGAGTAATAATCCACAAAAACATATGCTTGTCGTAGAACAATGAAAGAAAATAATGATAGAACGCCGATGAAGCAGAAATCATTGAAACTGAGCCCTCGAAGGCAACTATATCGAATAATAAAATAAAATTTTATAAAAAAAATGTTTCATCAGCAAAGTGTTATTTGTTCGAGATTGTCATATCTAAGAATAGTAGCAACATGTTGCAATTCCATTTCAGGAAGGAACTGATGTAACATTATGATCAAATACCACTGAAAGAAATTATTTCTACTCCCTACTTCTCAGAGATCACAAGAGAGCAACATCATATCACGAAGGAATATAAACTAGAATAAATTGCAATACAGAAATAAGAATATATTTTGACAAAAAAAAAAAAATGTTTATTCATTGCAGAAAGTGGTTTTCATTCATGTATTTGTTGAAGTATGGATGGCATGGAAAAGTTTAGTGTTGAAGGAGAGGAGCAGTGAAAAAATTAATTTTCACATTATCATATCCCCCTTTCAAGAAATAACAATAAATATTCGATCCAATAGCCATAATCAGTTGAACTATGAATCTTTGGAAAACATTCTTTAATTGTCGATGTATGCTACTTCTGAAGAATCTGCAGATTCTCACTTTGTTTCTCGGGGAGAAAAGAAAAAACATGTTTTCTCCAAAAAAAATATTCACTCCTGGTATGAAAATGAATCAGAATAAACATAAGAGAAAGAAAAATGGATTAGCTAAGAGAGAAAGTGAGAATAATCGAGATCAAAACGTCAATATCACTTCGAAAAATATATTTGGGGTATTCATGCTATCAAATTTTTAATGTTTTTGCTTTTGCATCATTGATCTGAAAAAATATAAAAATGAAGCCAATAACTAGCAAATATAAAAACGACCACATCATATCCCCTTTTTTTATGAGCGGAAACAAAGTAAACCGTAACGCGGGATAACTTCGTTCTCCTTGAGTCATATCCTTTTTGTGATCTAATCTTCGATCAGTAGCCAGGCGGTTCGATGTGGGTGCTTCCTTTACTCACTCGAATTGACTGCCGTGTTGGTAGGTGGTTCAAGCCCTAGTCTAAACGATCGATTTTCACTTGCTATCGTCCAACCCGTGTTAGGAATCACACGTTAAAAGGTATGACCTCGTTAATCCTTAGCTCGCACAAGTGTCGATTTCTAAGGGTTGTCGTTTGTGGGGTTAACGGAAAAACAGATTTCAAACAGATTTTTTCAAACAGATCATATATAAGAGTTTTATGATATATATGTCAATTGCGAACTCATTTATAAATAAGTAATTGAGATTTGATATATTCCAAAAGTGTGGCAAAGTAATCCCAGTCTAAGATAACGAACATATTCGTGAAGAGATTTCCCTTTTTATTGTTCAAAAATCCCATCAAGCAACATCAGTATATATCACAATTGCCGGGACTCGAGTCTAAGATCCTTTTCGTAACGACTACTAACTCGATTTCCAACGTGTTATTTTATAGTTTTGCAGCCGACAACGTTTGTAACTATGAAGATTGATGTAGCTAATGGGAACAAGGTTCTGGAACACGATTTGTGGTTCACAAAAATCCTAATAAACGTTTAAAGCTGTTGAGGAAGGAAATGCACACATTCATTTATAGATTTATAAACGATCGATTATTCCAACTTCTCAGCATATGTATGGTAATGAAGGTGATTGATGATTATTTAGGTTCTAACATCAATAAACTAATGGAACTTTCGTACTTCTAATATTTTAATGTTCTAATTGAAAAAGAACTTTTCTGAATGTTTTCAACATTTTGTAAATATACCAGAAATTTTTTCATGGACCTAATTGAATTGGTGAACACTTTAAAATACTGCTACAGTACATAAAGTAAGTGGACATACTTGAAGACTGGCTATAAATCAAATTATCTACAGAAAAATTCGTTCAGGCCAGCCTCAACTACCTACATTGTAGGTTAATGGACTGACACCTATCAGAAAACAATCACTTCCCAGGCTGAAACCACGAAGGACGTTGGAACATATTCGACTGGTATAAGTGCAGGATTCTTCACTGAAGTTATTCCTGCATATGCTGTTGATGATACAACTGCCGGAATCGATTTTCTATTATTGGAACACACTTGCAGACCGGTTTCGGGCTGTTTGGCCGCTCATCAGTGCAAGTTAGTGTCTATCATCAACATAAAGTCGATGATTTTCGATAATTGAAAATCAAATTCTCTCAGGGTATCATTCCTCGAAATAGGCTGAAGCGAACGACAAACAACGTGTTTGTCATCGCCCAATATGCCTGTGAACGAGGTATCCAACAGCAAATCCGAATTTGCCCAAATTCCTCGTATAAATACTCTGAGAGAATTCGATTCTCGAATATGGAAAATCATCGACTTTATGTTGATGATGAACACAACCTTGCACTGACGAGTGGCCAAACAGCCCAAAACCGGTCTGCAAGTGTGTTCCAATAATTGAAAATTGATTCCAGCATACATACATGGGCATAGCTTCAGTGAAGAATCCTACACTGACACCTGTTGGATATAATCCAACTCCCTTCGTGGTATCAGCCAGGGGAGTAGTTGTTTTCTGATAGGTGTCAGTCCATCAACCTACTGTGTAGGTAAGTTGAGACTAGCATAGAACCAATTATTCTTGTAGATCATTTACTGTCACAATAATTGAAATTGAAAGAGAATACAGGGGTGTTCATCAAAGACGTACCAGAAAAGAAAGAACTGTTCGCGAAGTTTCTTAATGAGGATGGCAAGTTTCGATTTTAGAACCCTTGTCAATCTTTTATCCTCTCTAATAGTATGATGATTGAATTCATTCGTAATCACTTTGTGTAACAGTACCTACAATTTGAGAAAATTGA